ATTGAAATAATTAATAATCGTACATGTACATATATGTATAATTGAATTTTAATATATATGCTGATATATAAACATCTTTGCTCATGTCCATATATAACACTTTTATTCCATTTAAGGGTGTTTAGCCCATTAACATAACCTCAAACTAAATAAATTATTTTCAACAACAAATAAAATTAATTTCACCCAAATGCAAAAGATTCAGTTATACAATTTTGAAAAATAAATTATTTTCACTTAAAATTTGTTGTTAAATAATAATCATTTAACTTTATATATATTTTTTTTTGTTTAAACTTTTGGTAAACAATTGTAATTTTTATCCAATTTTTCTCTTTGAAAGATTTTTTACAATTCTGTTTGTTAAATTTTATTAAAAATAAGACATACTCTGAAAAAAGGGACCTTAGAGGCAAAAAAAAATATAGGTTATGTTTTGAAATTTTAAATTGAAAATACACAAAAAGGATCAACTCACAATAAAAATAATTGGTATTTAAGTCTTCAATATGTCCAAAATATTTAATAAAAACTGATTTTAATTTTACAAAAGTAAAAAAAACTTTTAATCAAGGTAAAATTACCGAAAACATAACCTAAAATTAGTTTGCTTTTAAGATCCCTTTCTTCAGAGCGCATCACATATTATTTTATTCAAAAGTTAATAAACAAATGAAATTTTTATATTTCATATTTTTTAAACAAATTATTTAACAAAAAAACAAAATTGTAGAGAATCATTAAAAGAGAAAAATGAGTCATTATTTATAAAAATTGAATAAAAATTACAGTATTGTTCACTAACTTTTAAGAAAAAATACAAAATATTAATTATTATTTAACAAGAAATTTTAGGGGCGGTTGAAGTTGCCCACAATTGAACTGCACACACTAAACTGCATACGAGTTATTTAAAAAAAAATTTTTTTGAATTAAAATTATAAACTAAATACAATTAAAATGCGCACCGTTTAACTGATGCATACGGCAAAACTGTATAAGAATTAAATTAATATTTTTTGAATTAAAAAATTATTTACGACTGAACTGCACACCGTTAAACTGCATACAGCAAAAATACTTACAAATTTATTAATGTAGATAAATTTGTAAAATTGAATTAAAAACAGTATACGGTTAAAATGCATACTGTTAAACTGCATACAAAAAAACTGCACACAAATTAAAATATTAATATGTATTTTATTTAAAAAATTATTACCGATTAAACTGCATATCGTAAAACTGCATACAGCAAAAGATCCCACAAATTAAATTAATTCAATTTTATTAAAAAATGTTTTTTGCATGTTTTTTTGACACTCTTTTTGAAAAAAAAACCCTAAAATCTAAGGGTTAATTTAACCAAAACACCCCCGTTTCACCTAAAGTCAATGAAAAATTACTTTTTCTACTACACTGAAAAAAAAATTTATTTGATTCAAATACCGGTGTATTTGGTTATTATCAAATAAATATTTACTTGAATCAAATATTTCTTATTTGAATCAAATAAATGGTATTTGCTTCAAATACTGAAATATTTGATTCAAATACTATATATTTGATTCAAATAAGAAATATTTGATTCAAGTAAATATTTATTTGATAATAACCAAATACACCGGTATTTGAATCAAATAAATTTTTTTTTCAGTGTATAAGAAAAAGTTTTCAACCATTTAAATTAAAATCCCAAGGGGGCGAAATATAGGCCTTAAGGGCCCTCCTCCTTTTGACCAAAAATAATTTTTTTTTTTTTTTTTGAAAATTGTACAATTGGATCTTTTGAATTTTTTATGAAATTAATTTTAAATAAAAAGTAGTTTTTAACCTTTTTAACAGAACTAAAAATATATTTAAAATTGATTTTACCTAAATTCGAAAGTTATTTTCAAAAAAAAAAAAATTATTTTGAATTAAGTTTTGTTGTTAAATAATGATTTGTTTCAAAAATAAAAGAAATAACAATTTTATTTCGTTATTAACGTTTAAACAAAATATTGTTAATAAAATTCAAAGAACAAAATTTTAGAAAATCTTTCAAAGCAAAATTAATTGGATAAAATTTACATAATTTGTTCGCCAAAATTTAAGACAAAAAATATAAAAAGTAAAATAGGTAATAATTATTTAAAAAATTTATTTTGAAAATTATAAATATTTCAAAATTTGATAATATTAATTTTATTTATAGTTTTATTTGTTGATAAAAACAATTTTTTAGTTTGAGGTTATGTTAATGAACTAAGCACAACCTTAATAATTCAAATTTATATATTATGACAAAGGGACAAAAAAAAACTCAATTTTTATAATTTTTTTTACTATTTCCAAAAATAGAATTAAATTTCAAAAAATTTCATTGCTTTTAATTGTAAAACGATTTAAGGCCAGGTCCAAGCCGTGTCAGCTGTTCCATTGATACTTCAAAGGAACAGCTGACTCGACTTGGACCTGGCCTTAATTCATTTTGTAGTAAAAATGTAATTTTCAAATTTAAAGTATTTTTATATTTGGTAAACATGTTTCTTGCTTGCTTTAGATATATAAATATATATAATATAAATAAATCTAAAAAATAGATTTATATATATTTTGCAATTTATAAAAATAATTAAAAACAATTTCCAATTTTTTTTTTCCAATTTTTGAAGATAAAGGAGAATGAAGGTTTATAATTATAATAATGAAAAAAAAAATATATATATAGTCAGAAATATTCGTGCGATGCTCAATCCGTGTTGTTTGGTAAGTTGTACGGTTTTAAGTCGTGTTAAAAATACGAGTCTCATCGTCAAGAGTAAATTAGTTTATTCAGACGATTCAACCTCGCGCTATCTGTATAGCAAAAGCTTTTTACTGAAAAGGTCGAGGAGTATAAATTTAATTAGTAAGTGAGAACGCCGAAAAATAAATATGAAAAGACCGTATATGACAGTCACGAAAGCATTGCTGACATAAATATATAAATGTTGTTTATAACTGTTATCAATAAAATAAATAATTATCAACATTGGAAAATGAATGTTAAAAATGCAGGAAATATTATTGTTTTCTTAAATTTTTATACTGTCAAAAAATTGAATTTTATTTTTTTCTCATTCATTCTTAATAATTTTATATCTATAGCTCAGTAACTTGAAATTTTCTCTAGTCATTTTAGAAATAATAATAATAATAATAAATATAATAATAATAATTAATAATAATCATCTACTATAACTATATAAATTTGATTTTCCAAGTGACAATATTATATTGTTCACATTATTTTAAATTATAAAATTAAATATGTAAAAAAAAATTTTGTACAGTTCTCATTTTCTGTATAACTCTAATTTATTTCGAAAATGGTAAAAATGTCATGCAATATTTACAACGAGTTGACTTTTGTGCTATATTATAAATACCTGTATGTGTGTGTGAGAGAGAGAGAGAAAAAGAGTTTATGTATCACAAAAAAAGTACTTAAATCTAATAACTGCATTTTTAAATATTTTTCAAATTTTTTTATTTTTTAATCATACTTCTTTATGACTTAATAATTATTATTTATTTAAAATTATTTTCTACAAATATTATTGTACATTTTCTTCATCAAAAAAATAATATTTAATGTTTTTTTCTCTTCTTTATGTAAAATAATAAATTTCTAATTAACAACAAAAATGTAATGTATGTGTGAAAGAGAAATTTGTTTAGATTTGAAAATTACAAGCACTTAAAATAATATACTCGCTTGATATAAGAAACAAAAAAATTTTTAACATGTGATGTAATAATTAAATATCAATTAATATTACATTCTCAAACTTGTGTGTTTTAATGATGTTTAGAAAGAAAAAAAAACTGTTAAAAACATTTTCATGTAACTAATATATATTTTTTTTTTATGAAATGCTTGAAAGAAAATGGTTTTGACAAAACATTTTTTTTTATATCAATATTTATAAAATAAAAAAACAATTAATAAAAAATAAAAATCATTTTCTTTCACATGAAATGATTTAATTATAAATATTTATTTATAAGAGAAAATGGCTAAAAAGAAAAGTTTTAAATCTCCAAAATTGAAAGTTTTTACCATAAATAGTTATTTCATTTTGTAAATAATGTTCATTAATTTTTTTAGATAGTATAATATATTTCTTAAGACTTGAAAATTCTTATTCTCACATTTTTTTGTACAGTCGCAATAATTAATCGAGGGCCATTGTTATATTGAGATGTTATTCCTGATAATGCCCTGAAAGCAATCCATCCCCAATCCTATTTATAAGATTAAAAAAAAAATTATTATTATTATAATAATATAAATATTATTATATTATATCTGTATAAATATAATATGCCCTATTTAAAAAAAAAATGTGAATTAATTTTTCGTATCAACAATACAATGTAATAACAATATTATTATAACAATAATTAATACTTATTCGTTTATATAAAAATATATATGCAATGTATTTTTGTGAGTAAACATGCTGTTGTACAGTTAATAATATGATGAATGTACTAAGATGTACCTATATTGTATATAGATATATTTAATTAAAGTGAATATGAATTTGTGTATATAAATATCTTTTTATTTTTCCTAATAATTTAATTTTTTAAAAATAATTTTTTAAAAATAATTTTTATAAAAATTTTAAAAAAATGTCATTTATAAAAATATAGAAAAATCAATTTTACTAATAAAAATTTAATTATTGAGAAGGCATAACATTTTGCATACTCTATATGAAAGGAAATTTTATTTTTGAACGTTTTTTAATTTTTATTATTTTACTTTCTAAATAGATAAATATTAATAGATTAAAAAAGTTTGAAAGTTTTTTTTTTTTTGAAAATATTTAATAATTAAAGTAAATTTCGTAAAAAATAGTTTATCTTTTTATTTGATGTTAATATTTACTTTTTCAATTCAAAAAACTCCCGCCTAAATTTAAATGCTACAACATGGCCACGTGATCCATTCATATGACTGGAATAAATACAATATGGCGTTAATTATCATTTGTATTTGTGGTTGTGGCTAAATGTTCCGTTAATAACGTTTGTTGGTGAGTTATTTTCTTTAATTTAGATAACAACCAGAGGAGATTTGCGTAACACCTATAGAGCAAATCAGTCTCGTGATTATAATTACAAAGATGACTTTACAAGCAATTAAATGGGAGGGTAGAAAATTAGAAATTTTGGATCAAACACTCTTGCCGGCAATTTCTAAATACATTTCTGTAAAAGGAGTTGAGGATGGATGGAAAGTTATCAATAGAATGCAGGTATTTATATGAACTTTGTACAATAATTTAATTATAATTTTCGAGAAATGTGCCCCGCCTTATTGTATAATAAATAAATTTTTTTTCCTACTTTTTAGGTTATCTTTCTCTTTTTATGTGTTATTTTTTTCCTTTTAAGGGTTATTAATTTATTTTTTTTACTATTTTTTCTTTTTTTAATTTTATTTATTTAATTTTGTAAATAAGTTTTTCTAATTGTTTTTAGACAAGTAATTTTTTTTAACTTACAGGTGAGAGGTGCACCTGCAATTGCAATAGTTGGCTGTCTCAGTTTAGCTGCTGAGATTGACGGTGAAATATTCACTGACAAGAAGGTACTTCGACAAGAAATCGAAGGAAAATTAAATTATTTAGTTTCTGCTCGACCCACTGCTGTGAATATCAAACTTGCTGCTGAATATCTAATAGGTCTTGCTAATAAATTAAGCGAAGATAATGAAGTTTCACCTTCAATGATGAAAGATCAGTAAGAATATTTTTTCAGTTAAGAAATAAATCTTCCTTTGTTTTTGTTTTTTTTTTTTTTGTTTCTTGTGTTTAAATTTAATTTATTTTGAAGGTTTTTAAAAACAATAGAAACAATGTTGGAAAAGGATCTTGCTGACAATAATGCAATTGGAAAATATGGTTCAGAAGAAATTTTAAAATCTGTACCAAATGATGCTTTAGTCAGAGTAATAACGCATTGTAATACGGGTAGTCTTGCTACAGCAGGTTATGGTACTGCTTTGGGTGTAATTAGATCTCTTCACGGTAAAGACAGACTTGGTATGTATAAAAATTATTATTTATAATTAAAAATATACTTGAGAATATTTTAAATTATGGTTTTCTTTTTTTTTACAGAACAAGTTTATTGCACAGAAACAAGGCCTTTCAATCAAGGCGCAAGATTGACTAGTTATGAACTAGTGCATGATAAAATTCCAGGTGTACTGATTTGTGATGATATGGTGGCATCTTTAATGAAATCGAGGACAATCAATGCAGTGATTGTTGGTGCTGATCGGGTTGTTGCTAACGGTGATACAGCTAATAAAATAGGAACATATCAGGTAATTTAATTGATTTTAATTTAGTTTCTATTATTTTTTTCTCTATTTTTTGTACTTTAATTTCGTTAACAGGGCTGATAAAAATCATGATTTTTTTTATCCGATTTTGTAATCTTTCTTCTTACTTACGTTATTTTTTTAAAAGGCTGTTTTCTAAATTATTAATTTTCCAATAAATTTAATAATAAAAGCATTAGCCAGGCCTCGGATAATACGACTTTTTACGACTTATTTTAATGAAATGCGACTTTTTCAACTTTTTTAAATATTTTTTTTACAAAATTTTCAAACAAAATACGTTTTTTTTTGGTATGCAATGCAGATCTTTTTTAGATTTTCTTTATTTTAATTATTTAACAAATTTTTAACTAAAATTCTTCACAAAATTAATTATTTTTAATAATTTTAATGAAATTCCTCACAAATTCAATTATGTCTTAAACTATTTTTCAATTAAAATTTTTTATGTAATTCAATAATTGTTTAAAATTTTGAAAAAAATCATCAAATAAAATTATCAAAAATTTTTAATTCAGAATCATTTGAAATTTAATTATTTGAAAAAATTTCAACTTTAACTCTTCCAAAATTCAATTATTTTTAATAATCTTAATATTTAGTATATAGATGTTTTATTTTAATTTTTATATTTATTTTTAAAAAATTAAATTGATAAATAGAATAAAAAGAATAGAAATATATGTGACCTGGACAGTTAAAGGGACCTTTTGTCCGAAAAAATTAATTTTTTATTGATTGGTGATTCTGATAGAAAAAAGTTTTCTCTATCAGAATCACCAATCAATAAAAAATCGATTTTTTCGGACAAAAGGTCCCTTTTAACTGTCCAGGTCACATATAGAATTATCCTCATTACAGAATTAATAAAATTAATTTAAATATCTAATAACATTAGTTATTTCAAGTAAAATATTTATTAACTAATTAAATTTTGTTAAAATAAAAAAATTGACTTGTTCTCCAATTTTTGAGTAGAAATCAACTAAAACGACTTTTTTTGTGTTTTAAAGTCGATCCGAGGCTTGCATTACAGAAATATTTACAGTTTTATCAAAGAAAATATCATTTTTGAATTCAAAACTAAAATTGTCCCTCTACAACAATTCATGCTTTTCAAAATTGTTGATTTCTAAAATGTCAATAATTTTTGTAATATATCTTAAAAAGTTTGAAAAGTTGAATTACAACTTTTTTTTTAGAAAATATTAGAACAAATATTAGAAATAAATATTAGAACAATAATTAAGTATTTATAATAGTTTTAACATAATATAAAGATTTTTAAACAAATATTTTTAGGGTTGCCACAGATCATGGAAAAGTCTGGGATTTTTATTAAAAACATAGGAAAAATATCAAAAATTTAAATTTGTTAAAAGAATTCCGACATTCGGAAAAAAATAGAATAATTTTCCATGATTTAAACAAAAAATATTTTGTCAGGGAAAAAGATTAAATTTTGTCTGAAAATCAGGAAAAATTCAGAGAAAAATATAAAATAAATTTTTGTGGCAACCCTGATTTTTAAAAGTTGTGTTTTTAAATTTTTATATTTTCAAAAGGTAAATAACTTTGGATAAAAATATAAATGTTAAAATTTAGAATATACAAAATTAAATGTGAAAAATATATTTAATATCAACTTATAAAAAAAACTGTTCGAAAATTTTTAATATAGATAACTTTTTGATTTAAATGTAAATAACCTTTCGATTTAAATCGTAATTTAAATCAATACAAAATAAATTGTTTCAACTAAACAATTGAAGTTTAGTTAAAATATCAAAATAGTTAATTATTGAGAAAAAATTATCTTTACATTATAAAATTACACCTCACTAAATTTTTTGACAGTGTTTAAAAAAAAATGCTGTTAATAATTTTAATTGATGGGAAATCAGATCCAAAATATATTTTTGGTTTTCTTTCTTTTTTTATAAAAATTTGAAAACGTTTTCTTAAAGAAAAAAAAAAGAATTGGCAATACAAAATTTGTGCGAAGAGAAAATATTGTATCGAAATTGGCAATCAGTCGAATAAAAGTGGCAAAATTTTTTTAATTTTGGCTTAGAAAATAAAGCTTAAGAGCTTTTTTAAACAGAAAGCCAATATTTTTGTGATTGCAGATAGCGATTCTTGCAAAATATCACGGCGTACCATTTTACGTGGCAGCGCCATGTACGTCTATAGATTTCAATATGAACAGTGGTGATCAAATTAAAATTGAAGAAAGACCTGAAGAAGAAATAACTCATATATTAAGCCAAAGAATAGCTGCTTCTGGAATTCAATGCTGGAATCCGGCTTTTGACGTAACGCCAGCTGAACTAATTACAGGCATAATTACTGAAAAAGGAGTTTACAAGCCAAATAATCTATCAGTTTTAAAAGAATACTGTCGAAATAATGAAAATCAATTTAAATTTTAAATTCTCATGTTTTTTTCTTTTTATTTCTAATTGTAATGCATGTTGACTGCGTTTTATAACATTACGTACTTAGTTTTTGCTTTATAATTTTCATTGTCTGAATGCTTTGATAATATGAGGACAAAATATGAAGAAGAGTTTTAAATGAATTTTGATACGAATATTATAATATTAATAAAAAAAAACAAACAAAAGAATATTAGTAATAATAAGCGATTTACAAATTAAAAATATAATAATTCTATTTTAAAAACTGATTAATAGTGCACAATTTTCAAAGACTGCCATATAATTATTGGAAATATTTTTGCAGTCTTAAAATTATTTTCCAATTTAAAGAAAAAGTTTTTGAATATTTATTAAAGTCTATGACACAAATGAATTTTAGATGGAAATTAATTTTTTATTGTAAGATTAGAATGAAGAATGGATGAAATTGATTTTCTGATTTGTTATAGTGATTGAATATAGAAAAACGATAGACTATTTGTAAATTTTTAAAGTTAATATATAGATTGACTATAAGTTGATTATTATACTTCATTAATGTGAGAAAATATTTTATAAAAATAATAATGACTTTATAATTTGTAAAATTATATAAAATTTTCAACAAAAAAAAACCACTGTTTTATGGTTTGAAAAGCATTATTAATTAAATTTATATAAAAAATAAAAAATGAAGAGGAACTTTATTTTCATAATGCATAATTGTAATTGAAAATCGATTATTATTAACCGTTCAATGAAGTGCGGGTCATCAGTCGTCGTCGTCGTCGTTGTTGAGTTTACGGGAAAAAGGAAAATCTATTTTTGTAAAGGCGTTTATTCGTTCGCTATAAGTCTCGAGGGCGCGCGAAGCAGTATCTTCTGTTAGTTTGGCCAGTCTCGCGACATGAACGGTTATAGTGTATGTGCGCCAGTTAATTGATAATTCATTTTTTTTTTGTTGTTCAATTTTAAGAAAAAAGTTCATTTTATTTCTTTTTTAAATATTATTCTTTTGTTTGCGTGCTATTTTAAAGAAGAAGAAGAAAAAGAAGAAGCAGTTTTTTTTCCATTGAAATTCAAAGACCGTCATCAGGATGGAAGTGATGGACGCAGTTGTACCGTCCGTCACGTCGACAATCGACGAGATGAACGATGAAATGAATGACGATTCACCGACAGTCGAAGAAACTTATGAAATTACAACAAGTAGAAAAAGAACAATTCGTACAAGTTATAAAATTCAGGAGGTGAGTCTTAAAAAAATGACTATTTTTTTTATTATTGGAGCAATAAAAAAAAAAGAAAAAAAATTATCAGATAAAGTTTATTGTACTTGAATCATGGAAAATCACGTGATATTGAATGTAAAGGTTTGTGCTAGTGGAAAATATTCTTAAAAATGAAAACTAAAATCACAAACACAATGGAAGAAAAAGACAGTGGAAGGGAAATATTTTTATTTTTAAATTTTATACCCGCAACAACGTCAGTGTCAGAGCTACGCAAGTGGACACGTGACTTGCGCGCGTTTATTGTTAAATAATTAGAATTTTATTTAAACAAAAGATTTATTTGAATTTTTTTCTTTTTTAATGGTATTTTTTTGTCAAATGAAACAAATTTTTCAGAAAAAAAAATGATATTTTAAAATATGCTTTGAAGGCAATTTTATTTTTCTTTCGGTAATAAATGAAATTGTAAAAATTCTCTTTTTTAGAATATAAAGCAATTTTTCGTATGTACTAATTCCTATCAATTGAAATTTGCTGAAATGTACGAATTGTATATTCCACTCAAAATTGAATTGATGATGATTTTAACTCTATATATACATATATACATTTTTGTACTCGACCGTTAAGCTGCTGGAAATTTGTTGAGTGCATTTTAATATTCTACACTCATTTTTAATGAAGAATTTAATAGATCGCAATTTGAACATCACAGACGATGAAAACAGTTATCGGAAAACACTGGAGAATTTAATTAATCTGTTTCCTTTAATAGCCATGGCTATTTTAATGCTATGGATTTAAAGTAAATATTATGTAGCAGAATTTTGTTTAGAAATTATCAAATATTTTATTGTCTAATAGATTCTTTTTTACATGGGCGATAAAATTGTTTTTATTTTAATTTGAGATGAATTTATAAGAACTGAAAAATCGAAGACAACTTTTTTAAAATAGCACCGAGGTCGAATGTTGCTCTGGAAGTTATCATAAAAATTGAATTTGTATTTTCATTCTAATCGAAAAAAAAATAAATAAAACTTTGTATTTACAATAGAAAAAGAAAAATTCTGAAAAATCAAATGTGGAATTCAGAGTTGTATAGAAATTTTTGGATATGGGTTTTTCTTGATTATACCATGTCTTTTAAATTGGATCTACTTGAAACTAAATTTATTTAGTTTCATTATCAAGTAGATTTATTATAAGACTTTTTGTATTGTCAGGCATTATAAGCTAAAGCCAAGAATGTTGCAATTTTCGTACAACGACAGCAGCTGTGTTTTGCTAGTATATTTTTTACACTCTGCGGTTAGCGAGCATGGGAACCGTTAGCGTTAGAGGTATCCATGTCTTCTCTCGACTTTGAAAATTTGAGGCCAATGCTAAAACTACAGTAAATTTTTGGCTCGTCTTACATTCTTCTTAAAAGTATAATTCTAAGAAAATAATTCCAATTACATGGCTAATCTAAATTTCCATATATCTTCTGTAATTCTTCATTTATGTTAAATAGAAAGAGTTCAAAGTTTAAATACCAAACAAAAAAATCGAATTAAAAATTGTAATTTAAAAAATTACTTTTTCTAATTTAAATTTTTTTTTTTTTTTTAGTTGAAAATTTCCTACAAAGAAAATGTAGAAATTGAAAATTATTCTTTCCTTAAAATTCTTTCTTTTAGAAATTAATTAAATTTTAAAAAAAAACCGGCGTTTTCTTGGAAAAGCTGTAATATCGTTCGCAAAAGTTCACGCTTCACGATAGAAAGCATAGGCATTTTGACTCAAGAGACTGGTTCATCTTATTTATGTGTGATTCCAAATGGCCATTCGTTTCAACCACGAGACGCTGTCGCTTTCTTGGCACTTAAAACAAGTCTTGGGGATGTTTGCATCCCAGTAACTCACGGAATTACGACTCACCTCTATATAATCCTGAAGTAGAAATTTGTAAAACCTGCAGTTTCTTATATGTTATCCCAAAACAATGTAGCTATAATTGAAATTTATCATTTTTCCTGTCAATTATTTCTAAATTCCAAGAAAAATTGAATTATTTCGGAAAATAATTATTTTACATTCAATAAAAAAAATATTTTCATATTTTATTTATTTCGCATTTTTTTTTTTTTTTGAAGAGAAAAATTTTTTTATATAAAAACGATTTTTTTTTATTCACCTCTATTATTTTTGTACTTTTTTTTCAAATTTTCCTAAATTCTTTAATAAAAAAAATTTCTAGAAAATTTCGATAAAAAAATGACAAAGCATTTTTAATTAGCATAATTTAAAAAATAATTTTTAATAAATTTCCGCATTTTTATCTATATAGTTTCGAATTTTCCTCTATTGCTTGTAAAGATAAAATGTTTTACTGGGTAAAATCATCTCCCCGTCAATATTCTCTGCCACCAGCCAATCCGAAAATAAAGCTCCTCGCAACCGTCTTTTCGACCAATGCACATTTTCCTGACTTTCACGATTCACGTAAAAGATTGTATTTGACGTCGAGAGAGAAAGAGAGCAATTGCACGTGGTGATTATTATTTGTTTATGCAAATAGAATAAATATTTATAGATCACTTTGATAAATGAACATATTTTTTTTTTGCAACTTATTTTTTTCGCAAAAAGTTGAAAAATTTCTAACAAGAAGAAAAAAAAGAGTATTTCAGATGAGTGTATTTTTAAGATAAACATATTTTTGAGTTTCAATGGAAATGCGTTATAAATTCAAGTTTTTTTTTTGTCATTGACAAAAGATGAATTGAATTTTTTTTCTGTACTCATTCATTAATAAACAAGATAATAATAATAACATTATATTATAATTTTAATATAATAATAATAATAAAATTATATTATAATAACGAAAAAGAAATAATTTTAATATAATTAAAAAAGAAAATATTTTTTCATTAATTTGACATATTACGTGTGTCGAGTTGATTAATATAATTAAGTCGACCATATCAGAAAATTAAAGAGGAAATTTGATACTTATAGTAAGATACTGAACTGAATTGCTTCAGTTCTCAATAAACGAAGCGATTCACAAAATTTGTAGGGAACACTTTATATTTATGAACGGCACACGACTTTTCACTAAATTTACTTAGAATATTCATCATTTATTTTATTAATATGATGTGTCAAAATAAATTATATACATATCTACGTTTTTTAATAATATGTCCCAATTCTTTTTTATATCTAGTTCATCTAGTTTTATCGAAAGAAGTGAAAAAAAAGTTTGAATTTATATAATATACATATATCATTTTATAATATTAAAAGAAATATTTTCATATATACAATTTTTTTGCCTTGTATTTTAGATTTATTGAATTTTAATATGTTCCACGTGTCGTAAACTTTGATGTCAGTGCTCCCAAAAATCTAATTCAAGAAAATGTGTGTTGTAAAAGTTTTAACTAGTAAAAGTAGCTACAAATTTACGTTAATATACTTTCGCTGTATTGTAATATATTTTAAACGATTTTATAATGTTTTTTCAAATAAGTTAAAACAAAAAAAATTTTTTTTTTGCCATGGTGAAAATTTATTATTATTTGAAAGGATTTTTATATTGACAATTATTTATAACGACTAAATTAAAATAAATTTATTATATTAATGTAGATCGAAAGTTATATTTATTTTTATGAATTTTTTTAATTTTAAATTTGTTTACTCAACTTTTTTAAAATTTCCTAATTATATACTATACATGTGTTATATAATTTATTTTTTTTAGTTACATTTTTTTTTTTCATCTCGATTGTCAAATATTTGCGGTTTATATTATTAATGGCTGAGATAAAAATGATCACAAAGGAATTGTAATTTTTAAAAATGTAGGGCCCTTCCCTTCGTTGATTTATGGATAATATTTTTCACCTGGGAATTTGAAACATATACAAATATATTCATATCACAATTGGTTTTTGAAATAAATATTTTATAAAAGAAAATTTTTTCATTGAACGATATTAGGAATTGTGAATAATCTCTTCCAAAAAAAATATTATTAAAAAAAATTAAATTAAATTAAAATTTTATTCTTGAACAAAATTTACGTTTTTTTTTTTGCTGAAATATTGAAAATTAATTTAAACTTGAATTTCCTGTAAATTTTTATTGAAACAAGTTTTTTTTTTTTTTGAAAAAAAGTCTAGTATTAAAAGAAAGACTGAAATAAAACAATTTTTTTAAAGTGTGAATTCACTTAGATATATTAACAGTTAGAGAGACAGAACTGTGATTTGCCTTAATATTTTGAAAGCCTGTAA